GGCTTTATGAGGATATCGACAACAAATACTTCGACAGCAAGTGTTTCGACAATAACCACCACAACGAGTGAGTATTCATCTTTTGTTTAACATTGGTAGTATATATTTCAATCAGGAAACTTTCTTCACGAATATATCTTTCGCAGCTTTTATATCAGTTTCGATTTTTACGTTTGTAAAAAATGTCAGCGACGTTCGATCTTGTCCTCAACCATTCTTTTCAATAGAACGAATAAACAATTATTTTCCACTACATTACGTTGCTTCCATGAGACAAAAAAAAATACAGCATGTGTCAAATTCAACAGTTGTTGTCTAAAAAAATAATATTTTTTCACATAGTCCAACATGACTGGCACACTGCTACTAGTTTTAGGTTACATTATAAAACATTTTATGGGTTATTCTTGGTACTTGAAACTTAAAATAGTTATTTTTTATTCTTTTCCGTTTAATCTGAAGAAAAATCAATATTCTTCATGTTTTTCTCTTGAAAATCAATCTAACAAAATCAACGACCGTTCTCGAAATCCTGTAGACAGACAGTTTTCACCATTCGTACAGTTATCAATCACCAATAATAAGCGTTCTTATTTTTCTTTAGCCCAGACTTATGTAAATCTGACGAACACAACAGTAGCAGCTCAGCAAATATATTATTGTGGAGACACATCATCCTTTACAAACTGGAAACTTTTTTCTACTAATGGATTATACATGGACATTAATACAACTGCTTGTAGCTTTAACTCAACCCCGCTCTATTTTACTAGCATGAATGGAGATCATGAGCACTGGCTTTTAGGAGGTTATACTGCTATATATATACCGACACGTCTCTCATTTAGAGTTTATACTCGTTCCGTGAATCAATCGAACAATATACAAATGCTTAATTCTTCTTATATAAACCAATGGCATATAAGCTGGTTTGGTGTCACTTACTAAAAATGAATGTGCGTACTAATTTGCTTCACTTGACACAGTTGCACAACTGAATAAAAAACAATGAATAATGAGTGATGAACAAGTTTTGGAAAGGATTTACTTGTAAATAGGAATACATTATCCACATTAATTTAAAATTAAATTTAAAATGTTTATTTAATCACTTTATATCAAATGTTAATAGATCATTTAACACGTAATTCATTAATATTTAGTGGTTAAGTGATTGATTTGAAGAAAATACTATTGTATTTCGATTTTTCATGAGGAGACAGCTAATTGAAGAGAATACTAATGGTAATTCCAATGATTTTTTTTCAGAACTATCTAGGCATGATCCCATAGCTCTTTAAGGAGATCTATCTTCCTGTTCCGAATGTGAAAATTAAAATATTTTCAATTTTCGATTTTTCATCATTAGTATAACATCGAGGTGTCTGCTGTCAAATGCCATTTAGATGAGGGGTCTTCTCTAGGGATGGACTAGAGATGTAACGGTGACGATTATTGACCACTGTACCGTCACTGTTTCGCCGGCCCGAACCAATAACCGAGCGTGCGATTACGATTTTTATTTTTCCACTAAAGAAAGAGTTTTTTTGAGAAAATTACAATTTATTTTATAAAGTTCGACCGAAGATAATAGGAATCGGAGCATCCGAATCTGCAATCAATTTCTCAAAATTGTACACTTGATAGCTCACTACGGGAAAACTGCTATAATCAACTGGATCAAGCAATCAAATTTACGATTGCGAGAAATGAGTTGTAGATTCGAATTCCTTGACCCGATTGCCTTTACACAGATATTATAAAAACCCGTTATTTTCTCAAAAAAGACCCTTTCTTCAGCGAAAAATAAAATCGATAGCTGTCTTCCCGATTATTGATTAACCAGGTATCGTCACCATTGCATCCCTAGGGTGGACGATTTAAGCAAACTTAATTAAATATTAATTCGTGTTAAATAAGATGGCCCACTCTCGTTGCAAATACGAATTACATTCGCACACACACGCACATCTGTGATGAGAGATTCCCAATTTTTGAATTAATGTAAAATGTGATCGAAGTATACTGCTCGGATACACTGTTCAGGAATACATATCTCTAAAGATATCACATAAAACAACCAAAACCATAAAAGCCATATGTTCTGATTAGAATGGTTTGAGTTTTCTTTGATTGAAAATGTTTTACAGAACTGAAAGCTGATCCGTATGTGTCGCATTCCTCTCTGTAAATTAACATAAACGATATAAAATAGATATATAGGGTGTTGATTGAAACATATAATTTTCTAGAGGATGATTATCGCTATTATCTGAAAAAATGGTATGCATTGTGTTGAATTTAGGATTGTTTTATTATACATGACTGAGTAGTTTTACTGTTCTACTAGAAACATAAATACAATTGGCTGCAATAGGACAACTTCTACAAAATGTGTGAGTTTTTCAAGTATTTCAGTTGTCTGTTGAAACTTATCCATACGTATTGCTTGCATAGCAGTTTCCGTTCATCAAAGTCAGCTACTTGAAATGATTTTTCTTCTTATTCAGCTAAACGTACAGATTTAAGGTTGACGATAATTGAAATTGAATGATCTAATTACTAAAATTGTGGTGCACAACGCTCACAAAAAAATTACACCATAAAATTGTCTTACCCAGTCGTAATATTAGCCTGCTGTTTTTTTTAAAAATTTGTAATTGTTGTGTTATTTGTGCTACTTGTTCATAATATTTTGTCGCAAAAATGAAGTTCCTAAACTTGATAATCATTATATCGATTTCTAATAAAATACTAAGAGCATATGAAAGATAGTTACTACATTCCTCTCATATATGATCATTCTTCAACTACAGTAATATCATAATGATATTTCGAAAGAATCTGCTCGTTATGATATGTGACGATAAACTAAGATCAAATATTGTGATGGATGTGTATTCTCTTTTTAATCTTCTCATTAGTACAATTTTTTCACGAATAAACATAAATAGAAGTTATTCAGATAAATCAACCAATACGTTTTGTTAATATTCCATAAAATTGTGGATCCGTTCTGACAACACGAAGAAACAATTTGAACACTTATCAAACGCTGAATTATATTGAGCCAAACGAACAGTTCATTTGACTAAATTTCTAAATATAAGATTTTCAGTATCTTCCATATATCAGTCCAATAGAAATTCTATTCGTGAAATTAATCTCGAAGAAAAACATATCCAACAAACGTAATCAGAAAAATAATTAATACCATTAACAGTCGGTTTTAGTTTGTCTCATTCTCTATTTTGTATACTATATCTCTTAGTATGTTCTGCTCCTTCAACAATTGAATTGATACGTAGTTGAGAGCATGATCAAAAGACATCTGCACCCATTAGTACCAACCTTGCTAAGATGAAGTTTTTTTTGAGCTATAATGCTCGATATTTTGGGTATTTTTATCCTGCTTTTTCTATTCTTTAATTACGTCTGAGATACGAATGATCATACAGCTAGTTTCGCACCCATATTTTTGTTCAGCGTAACTGAATATCTGATGATTTCGATACACAGGATATTAAATACTTCTTAGTAAATGAATATTCGAATTATTTTTGAAAGTGTTTCGTATGATTACATTTCATGTTGAGAAAAAGAATAAAATGTATACTGTAAAGCGTTTCAATGAACATTCATTAAACAAAGTCAAAATTAGAAGTCATTATATATTCTTTGTTTGCTTTCTGTTTTGAATTTATATTTTCAGATAGGCAAAGAAATCTACTAAAAACATTTCTCATATTTATGTGAAGCAGAAGCAAACATCGACAACTAATAGTACATTGATTTCATAACACATAGTATTCAAACGACAAAAAAAAAGAATTCAATCAACGTTGTATTTTGCAACAGTGTTAGATCAATCATAAACAATTCAACATGGGAAAAGAAACAGAAAAAAGGACGTCCCAACTATCAGACTATGATTTCTGTTTGACGATATATATTATATGCATATTGGTTGTTTGTATTCCAATGGTTATTATGCTTGCCTTAAACATTAAACAGTGTGAGTATAGACAAACACAACGTCAAAATTTTAGTCTTTAAAAAATATTCTCAAGTTATTTTATTTTTGTAAAAGAATATTCAAAACGTTCTAGCCAATATTCGTGAGTGTTACTATCAAAATAGAATTTTTTGAATCTTTATACAGCTGACAGCTTCATTCATATAAATAACAAGATCGTTTCATGAACTGGATCTTTTTGACTTGTACTTGAAGAGGTGAAAATACATTATAATTAAAAGTTTTCAAGAAATCGAGCAATTGTAATAATCATTTTCTGTGTATGTTGTATACACGTCACTATGTTTTATATGTCAAATGCTTTCTATAATTGATTTCTCAACACAAGAATGAAAAAAATGATCGATCATTAAAATTTTTTGTTTTCTGCATGTAAACCAAACTCATATTTCATCATGTTTATTTATCTGTTTTAGTCTATGCAAGCGACTCAACAATGACAACAGGTGAGTATGTTTCTCTTTCATCAGATTGAAAGAGCATCATTCAATAACGCATTTTTCATTACGAATATCTTTTCCAATGTTATATCATTTTCAATTCTGACAGCTACGAAAAATCAGAACGATGTTTGATCTTGTCCTTAAGTATTTTTTAAAAGAATATACACAATTTTGTCGTCGTCACATTCTGATGTCCTTATGAGAGAAAAAAAAGAGATACTAAATACAATTTTTGTGACCATTTGTAACGTTTTGATAAATAGACGAAGGTAGATTTGCATTATAAAACCGTACATTCATTGCTCTTGCCACTAACGCATTTTAGATCATTTTTTTTTATCATGATTCGTTTAATCTCAGGCGAAATCAACACTGGCTATGTTGTTCTCTTGAAGATAAACTTAAAGAAACGAATGAATTTTCTAGATCACTCTTACATAGAAGTTTCACCTATCGATCAGATATAATTCACCAATAACATGTTTTTTTATTCTTCTTTAGCTCAGACTCAAGTGAATCTAATGAATACAACAATAGCAACTAAACAAGCATATTGTTGTGCAGACATATCGAACTATACACATTGGCAACTATATTCTACTACCGGAATAACGATGAACATTGATACGAAGAATTGTAGTTTTAATTCAACTCCATACTATTTTACTAGCGTAACTGGTGCTGGCTATCATTGGGTATTAGCCGGTTACACTGCTATTTATTTTTCAACAAATATTTCATTTACAATTTATGCTTATCCATTGGCTACTATGACTAATGCAGCCATGCTTACTACTTCTCAAACATCCAAATGGAATATAAATTGGTTTGGTATTTCTTATTAAAAGTGATTGCGTACACTAATTTTATTGCATCTAATATAGTTGTGAAGTTTAATAAAATTGTACGAACAACAAAGTTTGGGAAGAGTTTTGTTGAAGGGAAGACCTAGATTTTACATAAGCACTCTTGATGAAATTCTTTCAATTTTAAAATCAACGCTAAGAACTCTGTTTTTTTATCTAAGATGCCAAAATACTTCTCGGATAAAGACCAATTAATGATATAACTGAAACAATAAAAGTCATTTGTGTTAGTTAGAATAGTTTCGAGTTTCGTATGGTCGAAAATGTACTGAAGAAGTAAAACTAAAGCTAGGATTGTTTTATGATACATGATTAAGAAGTTTTTACATTTTGTACTTCTTGAAAAAAACAAAGATACTTTTGTAATAGTTGGATCAGCAAAGTCAATCGAAGTAGCGTTTTTTTATATGCTTCTCACGAGATATGCATATGAAATTCGATAAACTTTAAAAGGAGATTAATATGAAAAAAACTCTAATCTTCTCTCCGATTCGAAAGTGAACGAAAATCAGAAAGACATAATTACTTCCTATTTAATAACTCTAGTCGATCGACGATTTTTGTATATTTAGAACGACTATATTCTGATTTTCAGTATATCAGAAAAATGAAAATAAGTCATGCTGTGAGATATAGTGAAATTATGGTTAACTTTCCTAACCTTTGTGAATGCACAAAACAATTGATCGATTCAAATTATTGAAAAGCTTTTATACTTCTTTCTGATACAATATATTAGTCTTTCTGACTTTTCTTCAAGTCTCGTATTGGAAAGAGAATCACAACTTTTTCTGAAAACAAAAGTTCAATCATAATCTCTGGTAGAATATTTCAAAAATAAAACAATGTTTGAGACTCGTAAAATGTCTATCTCGTAAGAGTTTCACGATGATAACTTCAAAGCAACTTGAACCATTTTTCTAAATGATAATCGTAACCATTGTGTAAAAAACTGAACATTTCAATCAATTATCTCTATTTACAGAGAATATGCATGGAAAATCCTTGCTATAGCACATTTGACCATATTTGTACAATTAAAATTACGATTGAAATATTAAGCATCAATTATTGGTCAAGAACATGAAACAATAGTGAACAGAAATAGCTTTTTGAAAAAAAAGTATCATGTAAATACACAGAAGAAAATATGGAAGTTGTTAATTAACATGAATCATCATCATCATCATCTAATTATATTGGTTTCATGTCACTGGTTGATGAAGTCGTAGGATTAGTCATTTGTTGTTGATTTACATTATTGGTTGTTGAACGAATCTATCGTTTAAGTAAACGAACAGATTTAAGTTCGGTTATCATAAAATAAGGTTTCTATTTAAAAAAACAGAACGATATAAATTTATAATTAATAAAAACTGAGTTACTTGACAATATTGACTAATTAAATCTTTATCATCTTGATCAAATGCATCAAGGAATAACTTTTTCATATGATCTCATTCTTCCCATTAATCAAACGATGGATAAGTTTGATCAAAAATATTTCAAACAGCAATACTATCTTCATTGAATAATTTAAGTAATATTCTACAGAGTACAAGTCGATTAATTCTATCATATCGTTCCATTTTTGTAAGGATATTTGTTAATGTTTCAAGTAATTCAATTGTCTGTTGAAAATTACCTATACGTATTGCTTGCATAGCAGCTTTTTCATATAGATCAGCTACTTGGAATATTTTTTCTTCTTATTCAGTTAAACATGCAGCTTTAAGATAGAAAATCAATTGAAATTGAACGATCTAACTGTTGAAATTGTGGTGCACAATGTTCATAGAGTATTGTATTCGAATCACGATAACCTTGAACAGCAAAGTAATTTTAATGATCTTTATTTCTACTCAAAATAAAACATTATTTCTAACCTTCTTCCGCATATACAGGGTGGGTCATAAGTAATGGAACAAAGTATTTTTGCAATTTCTTTGTTTATACATTATGGGTTAGCTCTCATATTTATACCACATATACTAGATGATATAAGTCAAAGATGTAGCATACGAACGACATCTTGATATAGTAATTTGTGCAAAAGCGTACAAGTATAGGATAACCAGTAAAAGAAAACACCTCTGAGTTCTAACAAAACTTTTATTACAGGTACAGAAGAAAAAAATTACACTTACAAATATTGTTCAATGTGTTCACCTTCTACATCTTTACAAAGTTGGACGTCCCATTTAATAAAAAATTCTTCTGAAGCACATTTTTTGCCACAGTAGCCAAAGAGGTTCATAGTCACTATCCTCCATTCAGTTTCATGATTTTACTTTTAATTCTTTGACATAATTAGCTATGTGGAAAGACAAAAGAAGGATTAATATTAGGAAACTCATTATTGCTACATGGATGACAAATTTATATCAGTTTCAATGAAAGAATTGTTATAGTTAAAATTAGTATTAGAAACAATAATCGTTCCCAATACAGCTGTGAGTGAGGCAAAGGAGTAAGAAGTATAATATTTAATTGAATGAAGTAACGTTTTTTAATACATCTTTATCATGAATAAACAAATTTACTTCTATTGATAGATCAGTCTCCTTCTTTATACATTTGCCCTCGGTCCTCAAAAGTCCTAAGCAAATACAAGAGTAGATTTAGACTTTGCAAAAATGGTCAAACACACTCAATATCAGAGCAAGAAATCAGTTAAGAAAAATAAATTTTTGTTCAAAACTTCATCTATGAGTTAGCCACTACGCTTCCGCTAAAACTCATCGTAAAAACACATTATCTTGGCTCACCTAAAGATTTCCTCTCCAAAACTTTGCAATCCATAGGTTTAGCCTAACCTATTCCGAGCTCTGATATGAATAACTAAATCAATGATAAATGATCCACGTAATTTATATCAATATAAATGACCATTATACTTGGTATCATTCACTGTGTGATTATTAATTCAACTCATTATGACTTTCAAATAGTTTATTTAAATCTTACAAAAACATTTATTATCCCAAACGAAAAGAGAATACAAGTATTTGAATTATGATTCGTTTAATTTATCTATGAATCAAACGAAAGATAGATGAATTATGGTATAATAGGGACTTCAGGTCGATTGGTTTATTTTTTTTCCTATCAAAAAATAAGCAATATTTCTCTAGCTCACATGTTAAATTTACTTTCTACGACTTTTTTTATCTGATGTTTCATCAAGTCAATGGGTTTAATAACATATCTCAAGTTATTTAGAATAAAAAACCAAAGATTCTTTTGTTCGCCATTATGATATGATAAAAAAGAGGCCTCGACTTTCCTTTGCTAAATATAGTATACAGAAAATTAATTTTGAAATGCATTTCTATTTAGTTTTCTTCATATTCAAATCCAAAAGTCAATGGCGCGACAAACTTTACTTGATGATATAAAAGATCTTCGTTTGATTAATGATAAACCTATTCGTCTTCTTTTATTAGCTGAAGCTACTGCAAATCTTGGTGTCATTCTTTTTGTCTTTCTTTATCCATCATTATTTCTTACACTTCTTCTTAAACCGGACAATGAAATAACTCCATTGGCTACTTCTATACTTCTTTGGTGGAATTCATTGATTTTAGCTATAACTTGCCTAATGTTTGCTGCTGTTCCATCAAAATATAATACACCGACGTTGACAGTTGGTCTGATACATGTTCGTCGTTGTCTCTATTGGGTTTTATTAATTAGTGAAATATTTCTTGCATTTCTATTAATTTCTACTAGACATCGAACACTTTTATCAATAAGTTTTGGTATTTTTATTTTATTGATAGTCATGGGTCGACTTATTATTCTTTTCCCAAAGAAAGCTTGGTTTGGTACTGTTGTGATCGAATCGAGCATAGAAAAAGATAAATAACGATAAATAGAAAATATGTTTTTTTTAACCGACAAATATTAAATACTACACGTCAATCAGAAAATAATATTTTTTTATTTTAATAAAATTATAGTCAAGCATACTAATCCAAATTTACTTTCAACTTATATCTCTTTTTTATTATATATAATATTCAAAAAAAAAACCTATATGTGCATTATAAATGATTCATTTTCTTCATAATTTCTTTACATTTCCATAAATCCCACCAAGGTGCATATGGCCATTGATGATGTTCCAAATGATAATCAAAATGATAACAACATAAAAAACTAATCAATCGATTTACATTTGATGATTTTGATTTTTCCCATGACATAATTTCTTCAAATTTTCCATTGATTATTTCTGGTCGATGTGGTATATAAGTACCAAAATAAAATAAACGTAATGAACTACATAATCCACATATTAACATATATGTAAGAATATTAATAAGTGGAACTGAAAATATTAATAAAAGAATAGAAACCCATACAGTCATTTTAATGACTTGTTTTATAGAAGCATATTCACATAAAAAATGAAAATACCAAGAAAAAAATCCTATAGATCGACCATTATGATAATCAGGATCATCATTAACAATACCTGTATGCTTATGATGACGCCAATGTTTTTCATACACACTACGATAATCAAGCCAAGCATATGCAGAAAAACAGACATAACCAATAATATGATTTAATCGTGGATACTATAATCAAATTTAAAAAAAAAACTTCGATGGAAGAACATTCTTATATGTATATAACGAAAAATTCATTCAACAATCCAATTCTAAAATTCGTTATTAATATGAACAGAAGTATTTAAGGATACTCCCTTTCCGTTCGTGACCCAAATTTTCTTTATGGCTATTGTATAGTCTCAAGTAGCATCATCTATCCACTAAGTTCATTTTGTGGATCCAAAAAGTATCTTTAAATATTAAAAATCCAAATTATCGAATAACATTTTTCTCAAACCAAATTTTAACCCAAAGTCTCTGCCATCAAAGTTTTTCTTTTTTATTTGAGCTATATATATCCACAACTATGACAGATTGATCTATGCTCATGCCAAACTGATCAAAGATCCTCTAAGCCTTCTTCCCCAAGTAGTTCAACTATATTGGTTCATCATACATTATACCTTTCTCGTAAACTCTTGTATTACTTATATATTGACATATGTATATTTTAAGAGAACTCACGCGATGAGTAATTGTACCATGCATGGCATCATGACAAGTAATAAATAGTCCTGTATATAAAAATTCCAAAATAAAAAATGTTCCAGTAATATCTAAGTAACTTGTTTTTGTAAATTTGATTTGAAATAAAGCATGATACCAAAATCCAATAAATAAAATGAAAATAATAAAAGCAATTATTAAACCTTTAAAATCAATTTTCGGCGGAATATATTGAAGTTTGTTTTCGACCATACTTTTATCTGTCATCGAAAGTTTATGCTTATTATTATTATTATATAACTCATATCAACAACAACAATTTTATCTTATCTTGATGCGAGTACATTCGAGAGTATACTCATGTCGTCAATTTTTTGAAGATATCGTCATTTTTACGACCATTTCGTTAATACTCCTGCTAAATCGTAGATAACCGATGGCTCTGTAACTTAGTCAAGTTCTATAATTAAATAAGTTGATAGTATAATTTTTGTTAAAGATTTTTTTCTCAAGTTATGCGAATCAGAAATAGATATCGAAAATAGATAAATACATTTTCTGATAGATGCCGTTGTAAAAAAATTTCTTCTTTGATTCTCTTTATTGATTGTAGGATAAATGTATGAACAGTGCTTGCAATTGTAAGCGTTATAAGCAGATGTAAAATGTACACAACGTCTGCTACCTCAAATGATAAAATTAGAATGCGTACTTACTGCTTATTAATTTGCTGAGTCTCAGCTTATATTTCTCATTGAAGAAAAAAATACAAATAAAATTTCGTGTTTTTTTAGATTATGGAGATCTTTGTTTTTGTACGTGTCGCCCAAGAAATCAAGATGTAAACATAGACATTCGTCGCATATGCAACGTGTAAGAAAACATTTTGTTTTAGATTTCCATTGGAAACATTGATGTACAGTATAATATGATATTATTCAAAATATTGTTATATTGTAAAATCAAAGAGTAGACCGGAAATTTCTAGACAAAAATATGACTATTTTTCGCGTGTTTGAGTTGAGTGGAAAAAAGTGAAAAGTAGTGTATTAGAATCAGAATTTTGTGCTCTTTCAGAATATACATGCTAAGAATACTAAGGAGGCCAGAATTTCTAGCCAACCTTAAATTGGCTCATTAACCTCTATGAAAAGCCTTATTTCTTTAATTAGTTGCTACATTCCGTAGTGCTGAGCAGGATTTTATAACTATAGTATGGTGTTAATTCACATAGTTGAACTCTATGTCGTCCTGATTAACACTACGAAACGTAGCAACTAATTAAAGAAATACTATTGAGCTATAAGTGAATCATGGTAGGACTCAAAAAAAAAACTTTTTTGTAGAGGCAAAAATCTGATTTATTTCCTGTAGACATCAAATAAGTTCTTTAAATATATAATACTTGAGAGTGATCTCTACTCTACAAAATGACACAAGAATGAAGAGCTTAGGTTAATTCGCAAAAAAAATGGCAGAGCTGTGATGGAAGGACATGTCACGTTGAAAATCAGTAAAATAGTTATTGTTCTTGCGATAGATTTTTTTTTAAAGCATTTACTGTATTTTCCTATATATTGGATAAAATTCTATCGTATATCTCGAACAAGTTTCATTTGAGATTTTTTTCCTCGAGAAAAAAATTTTTGAGTCTTTTGAAGATTCGTTTATAACTCAATAATAGTCAAAAGTCACAGAAAAATTCTTAGCACACAAAATTCTGATTTCAATATACAGGGGTTACCAAAATTATAGACCTCCCTCACACATATAAAGAGAAATCCTTCCCTCATTTTCAGAACATGTACTGTAGGTTTGCTAACAGTGTGTGTGCATGCTCACGTCTAAGCATTACTTAGTACCAATGTCGTTCAGTCTTGACTAAGAGAATTTATCAACATCGACGCTACTTTTCTACTGTTCGAACTGTATATTATTGTTAGTGATTGCAGTATGAACTCTTTCTGGAAGCTTCCATTATACGCTGACTGTATCTGGACCTAATTTACTACAGAAATCAGAATATATGATTTTCTCTCTGGATTTTCATTATTTCTTAGTCAAATTCGACAATGAGACCATTATTCATGGACCAAATACATTTAAATCTATGAATGTCATTGCTATTGCTTGAGTCAGTCCATTTGAATTGAGTTTTGGTACAATTTCATCGAATAATGTAAGTAAACTCACTTACTTTGAATGTCTCCGATCATCGTAATAGCAAAAAATAAGAGGATTACACGTAGAATTTAAGAGTGTGGACCCAAACAAATAGTATGGTTGGAAATAGCTGATGAAATTGTACTTGGAACAATCAAAAGCTGATACGGAACACGACTCTTGGGACCATTAACACCAAGACACTCAATATTCATAATGTTCACTAATAAGATAAGCTGGCCACATCTAACAAATCTCTGCTACACAAAAAGATACACATACTACATTATCTAGTGTTATGTTCTTGATGCTGTATAGCATGATATCTTGGTAGATAGCAAATAAAAGCTCATCTAGAACCATCGCTGTAGAACTAGTATCACTCTTTCTATCATCCTTGTTTGATCCTCGCTACGGGAATTTGACAATATTGAGTGTCTTGGTGTTAATAGCCCCAAGAGTCATGTTCCGTATCAGCTTTTGATTGTTCCAAGTACAACTTCATCAGCTATTTCCAACCATACTATTTGTTTGGGTCCACACTCTGAAATTCTACCTGTAATCCTCTTAGTTTTTGCTATTACGATGATCGGAGACATTCAAAGTAAGTGAGTTTACTTACATTGTCTGATGAAATTGTACCAAAACTCAATTCGAATGGACTGACTCAAGCAATAGCAATGACATTCATAGATTTAAATGTATTTGGTCCATGAATAATAGTCTCATTGTCGAATTTGATTAGGAAATAATGAAAATCCAAAGAGAAAATCATATATCCTGATCTCTGTAGTAAATTAGGTCCAGATACAGTCAGCGTATAATGGAAGCTTTCAGAAAGAGTTCATACTGCAATCACTAACAATAATATACAGTTCGAACAGTAGAAAAGTAGCGTCGATGTCGATAAATTCTCTTAGTCTTGCAAGGGAGTCTATAATTATGGTGCAGCAGTTTTTCAGTAATGTCATCTTTTTTCTTCGAATAGCAAGTTACAAGACTGAACGACATGGGCACTATGTAGTACTTAGACGTGAGCATGTACACACACCGTTAGCAAACCTACAGTACATGTTCTGAAAATGAGGGAAGGATTTCTCTTTGTATATGTGAGGGGGTCTATAATTTTGGTAACCCCTATACTACTTCCAGGTCTCATTCAATACATTTAAATACGCGAAAAATAATCAGATATGTTATCTAGAAACTTTCAGTTCACCCTTTAAAATCGAGTAGTCGACCATTTTTACGTAATGTGGATCACACAAATGTCAAAATGAACAAAAACCCTATTTACAATATTCAGCGCCATCTATAGATATTACTATCTGATTCGATCAACTAATATGACCGTCCATGAAGTAATTTCTTTATTTCATTTAGTCATTCCTTTTACATAAGTTCGCCCATCTGTCATCTGCTATAATTATGATCGATATAGACGAAGGATTTTTCAAAGCACCATCACTTTCTACAGCTGGTGCAATTAGTGTCCGAAATGCTAAAGGACAATTAGTTACACAAAAAGTCAAAGTTCATCGCTATGTTGCTGGAAAACGGTATAATTATTATTATTATTTTTTTGTTTATTTTATGTTTCGAATTTGTGTTCTTTTATTTTTTTAGACCGGATTATGCTGATGCTTTACATGCTAGTGATGACGAAGAAGAAGAAGAAGAAATAGAAAAATTCGAACAAGAACAAACAAAAACATCTACAAGTAAATATATATTTAAAAAAAAAATAAGCAATCAAAATTATTCCTATTTGTATTTTAGTTAATCGTATAGAACAAGAAGATCGTCGTATTCGTCGTTTACAAGGACGAGATGAAATTCGTGATGATGAACGGTATGTTTATTTATACGAAAAAAAAAAACAAAAACAAAAAGATAAATTTCATTTTTTCGTTATAGAATTAATCGACATCGAAGTATCATAGAACCAGAAGTTATAGAACAAAGTTCAGAAGAAGAGGAAGAAGCAGAAGATGAAGAAGAACCAGAAAAAATGGATGCTGATGATAATATAACAGTTAATAGAGTTAAAATGGATATTGAATCATCTGATGATGATGAAGAACTTGATGAAGAAGAAATTGAACGACGTCGACAAAGATTACGTATGAAAGCAAAAGAAAAAGAAGAAGTAAATAATTATTTAAGAAAATAAAGAAATTTATTTTTGATTATTTTTTTTAAATATTTAATTTATTTTTCTTAGGAATTACTTCAAATTGAAGATGAAAAAGAACCAGAACAAGAAGAAATTGAACCATCCGAAGAATCAGAAAGTGAAGAAGACGATGAAGAAGAAGATGATGATGATGAAGGTGCACCAAGATTAAAACCTGTTTTTGTTAGAAAGTAAATTCTATCTTTAATATATAGATAAATAAATTAAAATTTTTTTTTTTTGTATTATTAGAACTGATCGTCGTACAGTTGCTGAACGTGAAGCTGAAGAAAAACATCAATTACAATTAGAAATAGAAAAAAAACGTCTAGGTGATCAACGAAAAGTACAAACACAAAAGGTTAAATTTCAAAAAAACAAATAAACACATTGTTCTTATTTTACTATTGAATGTTTTTTTTAGATGGTTGAAGAAGCAATTCGACAAGAACGATTAAAAGAAAAAGAAGCCGATGATGGTATTCAATGTGATTTTAATACGGATGATGAAGATGGTGAAGCTGCTTATGATGCATGGAAATTACGTGAACTTAAACGATTAAAACGTGATCGAGAAGAACGTGATCAGTAAGTACAAAGAAAAATATAGCGAATGTGGATTTCGCGACCTCCTACTGATGGTGGAGCCAGAAAAAAAATTGTAGGGGGAGACGGCTCAGCCCATTCATCTCATTTCTAGAGAGGACTAAGTAACTCCGCTGCTACTCTTCACTCTATTTCGTTGCAATGGAGAAAGGAGGCCGACGATTACAGGATACGTTTCTGTAACAACAGACTGTTTTAGAACATTCCAAGACTTTTCTTGAAATTCAGATAGTTTGTGAACGTATGAAATAGTGTAGTTTTTGATTTTGACGTAGATAAAAATTATATTTAAGATGTCAAGGAGCGATTAGAGACCTGCGGGATCAAGCGAAATACGAAAATGAAACAGAGTGCCTGTAAAAAAAAATTTTCGTATAGTCTGTTAGAGATTTTTCACTTGACATATTTTATATAATGAGGCTAAAGAACATGTGTGAGTTCCACATTTTAGCCTTAGTGGTACTACTCTGACAAACTTTTTCGATTTATTTAAGAAGATAAAATTTTTTTTTTTAGACGTGAACGTGAACAACAAGAACTTGAACGTTGGCATAATATGACAGAAGAAGAACGAGAAGCTGAATTGAAAAAAAATCCGAAAATTATTGCAAATAAAGTACCAAAAGCAAAATATAAATTTTTACAAAAATATTATCATCGTGGTGCATTCTTTATGGTTTGTATTTATTGTTTAATTTTAAATATCAATTACTTTTGTTTTTATTTTTTATTTTCTAGGATAAAGATGATAATATATATAGACGAGATTATAGTGCACCAACACTTGAAGATCATTTTGATAAATCAGTTCTACCAAAAGTAATGCAAGTGAAAAATTTTGGTATGGCTGGACGTACCAAATATACACATTTAGTTGATCAAGATACAACATCATTTCAATCACCATGGGCATCAGATAAACAATCAAATAAAAAATTTTATCATGAACATGGTGGCGGTCTTAAACAAGTTTTTGAACGACCTAAACTTAAAAATACTTCGAAAAAAACTCATTAAATAAAAGAAAAAAAAAGACTTTCGTTTTTTTTCGTTTTTGTCTTGTGTATAAATTTTTCTTTTTTCAGATGGGTAAATCAACAAAAGATAAACGAGATATTTATTATCGTTTAGCAAAAGAACAAGGCCTTCGGGCAAGATCAGCTTTTAAACTTTTACAAATTAACAGTGAATTTAATATTTTAAATGATAATGTTAAACGAGTTGTGGATCTTTGTGCTGCACCTGGTATGATATTTTGTTTTTTTGGATGAAAAATTTTCCTTTTCTTGTTGACGAATAATTCAAAAGATTTGGTTACAAATTAATAACGCCTCTGCTAAATTTTTGTGAAGAAAAACCCTTAGAGAATGTAATTGAGAGAAATATTTTTGAAATAAAACATTCTGAAAATACCATAAAAGTCTTTTTTTTGATTGGCCTATACCATTTTTTTTTGTTTTTGATTCGAGACAACCGAAAATTTTTCCTTGTTCAAAATGGATTTCTGCGTACAACGAGATAACAATAAAGATTTTTACAGAGACATTCGGTTTTTTTTTGAAAACAGGGGTTGTGATAATACATTCGTAAATGTTCTTGTGTGTTAGTTCTAAGCCTTTTATTTCTGAACGATAAGACCGAGTGTCTTGAAAAGATAGTGAAAGCATAGATCATCCTATGTTAAATACTTTTAGTATGAGTCCAGGTTTACACAGATCGTTGTGAATCTTTCACCGATAAGAAAAACCTATTTGAAAAATCCAAGTGACAATTCTATAGAATAAAAAACTTCTTTATCATAATAGCTTAGAATGGAATGTTTAAACTATGTTTCAGGTCTTGAAAACAAGAAAAGGAACGTGCTATATTCTTTATTTGTCTATTAAATAATGATGATTTTCTGCTTGTAATTTAAAAAACACTTAGTTTTTAAATCTAAGAGAAGAATATTAAGGTATAAGAAAACAATTTCTTGCTAGCTTAATGGATCGACTTAGGAAAAGTGCAGCAAAAATTTCTCTTTCAGAATATATATGACTTTTCGGAAGAAATTTTGACCTAAATACCGTGCTTTCTGAGAAATTTTTTTAAGTTTGGTAAGACTGCCTTTTTATTTGCGTCAGCATTGAATAAACATTCTTATATAATTTTAAGTACGATAGATGGTGCTAGTTTACGTCATCTCTTACTACGTGCTTCTAAAACTTCTACTTAGTCATATTATGAATATGCTATGTTAATGTTTTTTTTTCAGAATATAATTTTCAATTAGAAAAATCGAAACTGTTCTCGAACGGTTCAAGATATAATCAATACATTTTTTTTGTTTTAAAGGTCTAAATAAGAATAAACTTCGATCCGATTAAAGTTTTTATAGTTGATTTCTATGTTGAGAAAAGTGAGTTTCAAAACTCTATTCGGATAAAAACTGCGTGTAAATATTAGCTTTAATTTGAAATCACCCAGAGTTCTGTACTTGTAGTCACAAAGTTATAGAGATTCTCCTGAAGACCATAAATGGACTATAAATAGCCTCGAAGTTCGTTCTAGTTTGACATATTAGACTAAAATTTTTATCAGAAGTATTTCTTACTAGGGCCACCACTCATTCTTGAAAATTTTAGCAGAAATGAACCATTCTAAATAATAAATCTATAGTGACGGATGAAGGATTAAAGGAATAGATAACATTTAGATCTTTTTTCTGATGAAGTAAAATATCTATGGCAATATTGATACTTAGACAAATCTATAGAGATACGTTTCGAGACATGCCTTTGACCTCTTCAATAATTTCCTCTCATGCTTGTCAAGTTTGATAAGAATATCTCTGTTCTATCTATATATCGTCTTTTTGACGAGGACATACGATATGTGATAACGTCTGAAGTTTTTCTTTGTTGTTCATTTTCATTTCGGTCTTTTTTGTGTAATCGCCTAGTTCGGAATAGCAATTATGTACCAGAGCCCGAAAATGAACTAATTTTCGACTTTCCGGTTAGTTGAGCCGAATCTAAGTAAAACTAACCATTCCTACTGTACAATATATTTTGCTTAGGATATATTGAGCTGGTGAGAACTACAACGAGTTTTTATTCATTGTATTATACAGCATAATAATTCTTAGCATAGTGAGATTATTATTTTGTCTTGTTATCAATAGGATTCGTTGTTTATCGTAACGATCGGTTAATCAGTCGCAAGCTAATGCATAGCGAACTATTTTTTTCTTTCTTTGTCATTCCTATTCAATGCGATGAATAGCCGTCGATGCACTATCTAGGAATAAAGTTGGAAACGAAAACATCACCTGATAGACAGTAGGGTCACTAGAAATTACGGCTCTATTGTACTCGTGGAGCATAGTTATACGGTTTTTTGAGTAGATACGATTTGAACCGAACCCGAAAACTCCAGTTTCTTTCAAGTTCTGTAGTATACTTCTGAAAATTTGGTTCTAATGTTCGCGCCAGAATTAAAGAATGATCGTTGTAACTTTAAGAACTCTACAACAGTAACATTTAGTGACCTGTGGTTTTCAGCAATACAAAGAGGAGAACTTCGAACATCTTTTTATATAAGACAAAATTATTTTAAAACCCACCATCTTCACAAAACATTCAATATAATTTTGATTTTGACATGTACTTCAGATCTATAGTTCAAGGTACGTTTCTTTTCATATTCATGAAACGGAACAGCATTTTCATGCATTTTTGTTCAAAGATGATGAGTTTTAAAAATAATTTCGTCTTATATAGTATCACACATAAAGACGTTCGTACTTCTCTCTTTTTTCGATTGTTGAAAATCGCTATTCTTATTTATTCATCAATATCGAACATACACAACGGAAAATTCTATATTGAATGTTTCATTTTTCTTTCTTTTTTTTGAATAGGAAGTTGGTCACAAGTACTTTCTCGAACTTTATATAAAACTGATTCAATTGATGATCAAGTTAAAATAGTTGCTGTTGATTTACAAACAATGGCACCATTACCTGGTGTTGAACAAATAAAAGGTGATATAACAAAACGTTCAACAATTGAAGAAATTCTTAATTGTTTTAAAACATCTGATAATAAAATAACTAAAAAAGCTGATCTTGTTCTATGTGATGGTGCACCTGATGTAACAGGTTTACATGATATTGATGAATTTGTTCAAGGTAATCTTGTTTTATCAGCATTAAATATTTGTCTTCATGTTTTATGTGATAATGGTAATTTTGTATCAAAAATATTTCGTACAAAAAATATTGATTTACTTTATCAACAATTAAAATTATTTTTTGATGATGTTGTTATTGCTAAACCACGTTCATCAAGAAACTCATCTGTTGAATCATTTATTGTTTGTCGACAATTTCATTTACCTGAAAATTTTATTCCTAATATAGATGAACCATTTATTTATACCTATGAACATACATTAAATTTACAAGAAAAATCATCATTTATTATTCCATTTATTGCATGTGGAAGTTTAGATGGTTTTGATTCAGATAAAACATATCCATTAGAACACGATTCATCATATATTGAACCTATTCAACCACCAATTAATCCAGCTTATGAAGAAGCTTGTATTTTGAAAAAAAATAAAAAATTACCAATATCTTCATCATAATTGTTGTTGTCTTGTTTTTCTTTCTTTATGATTGAGAAATTTTATTGTTTTTTATTTTTGAATTTTCAGATAAAATGAATGCACGATCACAAACATTTGAATTTGCTGTTGAAGGTCGACAAATAGATGAAGTTGTTTCTTGTATGTTTCATACAATTTTATTTCATCGTTGTGTTGGAAAAGTTTGTTAGAATAAATTTATATATATATATATAAATTATATGATCGGTTTTTATTTGTTAGTATCATACCAATGGTGAAGATAGTTATTCAGTTGGAACCCTAGGTTATACTGATGTTGATTGTGATTATATTGATTTTACTTATGTAAGTATTATTGTGACATTTAAAAGATCTTATGAATCGAATGTACTTGATAATAAAGTTAAATGTCGAGAAATATTTTTCAACTATATGTGTAGTTTAAACCTAGATATATCGATGTATAGACTTATTGACCCATGGAAACTAGGCATTATTGTCGCATTTTTTTTTAAAATGCCAATCGCCATTTTTTGGATAACTTTTGATACTTCCTAGCTATCAAAGTCGGGTTTTCACCATTAGATAGAGCAATGTGGGGGACATCTATCTATCCTCAAATTACATTAAAATACAGCTCAGAGTGGACCATATTGTCCGTAAAATTTCCAGATTTCAGAAAACTTCTTTTGAGATATGAGCTCATGGTGCGAGTAAAACAATTGAACAATTATATGAGAAATACTGCACGCTTCAAGCTACATTTTGGTGTAATTTGAATATAGATTGCTACGAAAACTTGTAGAAATGTACAACAGAAAAAATGTTCACTTGTAAATCTTCTTGAAAAACTTTCTGGAATGTAATAAATATTACCTAGATAGATGCCCTCCACGTTGCTCTATCAAATGGCGAAAACCCGACTTTGATAGTTAGAAAGCATTGAAAGTTATTCAAAAAATGGTGGTTGGCATTTTTAAAAAAATCCGACAATAGTACGAATTTGTGAGTTACAAAGTATTAAGGCCTTCTTCCCCTCAAAAATCGATCTTAGTCTAGACCAGCGTTGGAACCGGTACCGGTCCGGCCGGACCGGTTTAGAAAGTCAATCGGGCCGGTAAATACCGGAAATTTACCGGTTTAAGTTTAAAAAATATTATCTTTACTTAGCTCTTATTCGGTAAGAAGAACTATGTATTTTGCTATGAAGTAGAACAAATTTTCCATCATTATACATATATGTCCAGAAAGTCTTCTACAGTGCCAATATTAAAAATTTTGTTCAGTTTATAATCGATATTTATCGCGATGATTGTAATACTATGATAGACACGAAGACAATTAGGCATATGTTTTATCAGTTTTGAAATAGACCAGGCAGTACTATATAAATCAGTTAGGAAAATCTTAATATCCTTTTGAAAAAATGATGATGCTTCATGATTATAAAGATTATGCATATCTTTTCTAAAAGTTTTATAAAAAGTCAAATAATATTTTCTCAAGTACGAATATTGAAATTTTCTAAGATATGCTTATAAAAAAACTATTCCTAGGTCGATTTCAGTTTTCTGTACTTATGATACGAGGAGCTAAATCATATTGTTTCAACCGTGTTATTTAAATATTAGATAATTCACTTTACAACTAGAAATAACTTTATCAATTTCTACCGTACTTTCGGATGTTTGGAAACATTTTAAAGCGGTAAGCTTGACCGGAAATTGACCGGTTTGCCGGAATTTTACCGGTTCAGAAATGATTAACAACCGGCCGGACCGGATCGTTTTATCTTTTTCTTACCGGTTCCAACCCTGGTCTAGATATATTCAAATTACATGAAATTTTCAGGATATGTGGGGACTGTATTGGAGAGGCTATGATAACATTTTCTGCTCTATATCATGATGTTTTCCAAAGATATTCAATAAACAAGAATTAAAAAAAACTCATTTAGCAACCCAAAATTCTCTCTGGGCTTCCATTTTATAGGCTTTTCTTTGTTTGAAAGAGAAAACCATTGCTACAATGAAGGTTTTTCAAGAATTCTCGGATGCGTGATCAAAAAAGCGAAAACGACTTTCAGTTTTATCTGAAAAACTCATATTCTTCAAGCAGAAAATGATGAAGATTTTGGAAAAAAAACGAGCTGTCAAATAACAAGTCATATTATTTATGAAAGATCGGACCCCGAACTATCTTCAAGATTAATAATTCGAACAAATTACATTAATGCAGTAATTTCTATTGTGGAACTATTGGACGAGTTAAATTCTTGTCAAAAAAGCTGTTAGCGTAATTCCTACAGGATTAAAATGTGAAATACGATGTAGCTACTATTGCTAATCACAGACAGATTGCTTTATTCTATCTGTTTTGGGATATAGATCTTCACCAATATTTTACTTAATTCTCTAGAAATGTAGTAAGGCAACCAGACGTTACTGATATAGGGTCTATGATGGCTTCTAGCTAGCGTCTAGAAGGAGACGGAGTATAAATCTCTATCCTATATACTTCAATACTTCTTTTTAGATCATGTTTCACAAAATGAATGTTGAGACAGTTCAATTTAAAAAAAAACAGTTACTTAAAGGCAACAATGAGAATGAGACTTTTCTGGATCTATGACAATCGGTTGTAATACTGAAAAATAAAATCGACAAATTAGATATGAGTATAAAGACGAGTATTTAGTGAACTCTTGCAATTAAACATGAAGCATTACATGAGAATAAGTAGTGGTTGCTTTCAAAATTCTTCTATAGTTCTTTATAATTTTTCCTTATTTTAAATCTTCTGTCTGCTGTAGTTTTCGTTATTCGACAATGAATATAGTTTTTGTCTTTTCGTAACATTTCGATAAATTCAAAATGTACATGTCAACAATTTGTTACTTTTTAGCTTCAAGTAACCAGTCAAGAACTTCAACGTGCCGTAGCTGAAAAAATAAATCAATTCCATGATAAACTTCGCTCATCAGATTCGAATCGTAGTGGACAAGTAATTGAAAAATAAAACAAACTATCGTGTAAATAAATATTATTTTTATTTTTTGAATAGATTACACTTGAATTTTATCAAAAGAAAAAATCTCGTTGGATGTTTAAACCAGAAGAAATTCCATGGGAAATATGGACAATTAAAATAGAACAAATGCAATTATCTAGTGAAAATGGTATCTTGTTTTTTTTTTTGGTTTATTTAACATATGTATGTGAGAATTATTTATTTTAGAGCGACAATTTATGCGTGAAAAACTTTCTGATTCATTGACAGAACGGATTTTTCAAATAACTGAAATAATGTAAGACGATAAATAATGAAATTATTTTTTTTTTTTTCTAATTAATTATTCATCTATTTTATTTTCAAGTAATAAACCTGATTATGTACCTAAACCACCACATTTATCTGAATTGGATTTAGTTTTTGATACATCATATACTGATATTCAACCATATTTATTTAAAGTATAGAATTAACTTATGATTGTTTATATGTTATTTTGTTTTGTCTAGATTCACTTCAGTGATTCACCAACGATTGTCAATCATGTCAAAACAATGATTAAAGAAGCATTCAATACATCACTTTAAGCACTAAATACAGAAAACAGCCATGATTATATATATAAATAATAACTTTTCTTTTTATTTCCTACTTTTTGCCATGTATATATAAAAATCAATCTATATATGTTGTTCAAAGTTCTTTTTTTCCAATTCTAACTGATTTTCTGTATGTTTTAGATAAAAATGTTTCATTGTTCATCTAATTTCAATCGATTAATAGTAAAATCCAATCAAATCATACAACCAATACGTGTGCGTACGTTGTTTTATTATTATCTTTTCTTTCTTTTAATATTTTGTTTTTTCCTTTGGGCGTGTCTTATTTAGAATGTTCGTATACCATTTTGGGAATTTTTAAAAACATCATTTCAAGCACGTTCAAATCCTGAAGCTAGTTATCATCGAAAACGTATTGGTGGTTTTCAATCGGTTAAAGCAGAACTTTTTCCTAATAAAACATATTATTGGTGTTCATGTGGTTATGCACAACATCAAGTAAAAATCCGATTTTATAATAGGTTTTTTCTTCTATTTAAATTATATCTACGTTCAAGGCATTTTGCGATAAATCATGTAAACAATTGCGAGGTGACTTTGGTCCATTGAAATTTACTTCATCAAAATTTCAAATGGCTGAATTATGTATGTGTAAATTAACTGGAAAAGCTCCATATTGTGATCAATCATGTCGTACACGTTTTGCTGGTATGCAATTACGTATGGGTAATGCTGTTGAAGGAACATATTCAAATGTACAAGAATTTCTTAATACAATACCAAAAGGTGTTAATAGTTATCGACAATTTGCTGCGGATCGACAAGCTAAACTTGAACATACAGAACGTTTAAAAAAAAAAGTTGATGATGAAAAAAATAAAAAATATTCAGAAAAAAAATAGAAAAAAACAGAGTATGGTTTGAGATTTTTATAATTTTAGATGAATTAAATTTTTATGAATCATCCGTTTTTTAAATCATGACAGATCGGAAGTATGAAAAGAATGAATTATTATGATTAGAGTTATTTTTTTTTTGTTTTTTTTTTTGCTTTTATTATAGAGCAAAACGATCACGTGTAATTGTTAATGATGGAACATGGGATTGCTCATTATGTACATATAAAAATCCATGTGTGGCATTTCGATGTGAAATGTGTGATTCAAGAAAAGGAACAGCTACTCGGTAGGATATATAAGAATTGAAAATATCGGCAGATTTCTTTTGTTGATATTTTAACAAGAAATATTTCATTTTGATTCGAAGTTTTTAAGACAATATAACAATCATAAGATCAGTTTATGGACATATGTTTAGATTAAGGTTTTATCAATAGCAAACTTTAGATATTATATTCGAAGATAAAAGTCTTACGCGGGGAGTCTCCCAACTAATTAATCGCTGTTAAGTCAAGACCATGTGCATCATATAGACCCTAATGGATTATGAATAGCCTGAAGAGAGTTTTGGCTCTTGGCTTATTGCTGTCGAGATATTGCATTTTCAAGATATTTTTTCAAGCAAAATGCTATGATCTTCCTTCAGAACACTAGAAAAACTTATTTTCAAATTTCGACTTGGAATTTTACCCATAGATAGGTCTAATGACTTTGATAATATCCTGAAAGTTTTAGCCGAAATGAATGTTCCTTTGTCGAGATATTGAATTTTCAAAAAAATGATCGTTCGCCATAGATATGCTACAGAAATTGAGTGTACTTGGAAATCCAATATCCCAATAAAGGAATATTTGTTTCGATTGAAACCTTCAGAATATTCCTAGAGTCAATAGACCTATCTATAGGCAAAATTTCAGGTCAAGTACCGTTATCTGAGTTTTTGGTAAATATCTAAAGCTGAATTGAAAATTCAGTGAAATGGTCATAATTCAGTTTCAGAGACCTATGGACACGAACCCTTTTATGATTTTTCTAGTCTTACTCACACCATCTTGTAAATCTATATAAGCTCAAACGGCGGGTATCAGATTAGAGGGTTCTCTCATCAGATATACCGGTAGATTCCATGTTCTTATTTCAGGAAAGGAGCAAATCAAAGGACTTGAAACTTGCACAGTATTCTATTCTCGTTAAGATCTGTCTCTGTGCAAAATTTTAAGTTGAAACTCGAAAATCAGTTTCGCATGTGTCTCTAAGAGGAAAAATATCGTGAAAATAAATTATCTCGGCATTAATAAACTAAGGGCCCGAATTATTTTCAGGGTACTCATAACTCATTAGGATCTATATGACGCACTTGTTTCAGACTTCCATGCGATTACTCAGTTTAGATACTTCCCTCGTTAGCATTGATTATTTACACGTCATGATCTCTTCCATTTTCTTGATTTTGCTAGAAAACATTAAAGTATTTTAATGATTTCTTGAGAAGATATTTATTTCCATTGAAAAATATAATTTAGACTAAAACGAAAATATAATTTACATAGTTTGTTTTCTGTTATTAATCAAGAAATAGGATGAACATTTCTATATTCTTCTTCTTTTATTTTGTTTCGTAGATAATTAGAATAAAGCAGAAATGTAAAAAAAACAATTACTTTCTTGTTGGAAATCGAATATCTTCTACTCAGAGTCCATTGAAACAAAGATTTCTGAATATAGTTTAATAAATTTTTTTCAAAATTCGATTAACATTATATCTAATGAATTACATCTATAATAACGAAAATATGGAAATGATTCCTATACTTTTGTTAGAACGATATAGTTTTCACGGGTACACAAATAATCAATTATGGTAATATTTTTTTTAAATTTTATTTAGAAAACCAAAACTTGTATTAAGTGATCATATTGAACAATTACCAAGATCAAAACGTAAAACAGATGATGATTATTCATCTGATGCATCAACAACCGATGATACGGATGCTCAAGATGATGATGATGATGATGATGAAGAATTTCAACATGAAGAACGTAAAAATACTCACTCTAATAATAATAATAATAATAATAACAATAATAATAATAATAATAATCATACTCGACGAACATTTCCTAATGATCATTTTAATGAAAGTATATCATCTCCAGCATCATCAACAACAACAACACGATCATATCGTTCAGCTTCACCATCATCATCATCAAAAATAAATGATCATTCAAAACTATCAACAACAAAAAAACGACCAACAATTACTTCATTATCACGTTCAACTAAATCAACATCAGTACTAATAACTAATAAAAAGACTAATAATGAAAATGATCAAAAAAAATCTATTAAACATCAATCATCAAAATCCAAAGATACTAAACAACGACAATCAAATGATAATAATCAAAAAAATAAAACAACAAGTAATGAACGAAATAAAAAAAATCATATACAGAAAAAAAAGTAAATTCATAATTTTGTATTTTGTTATTTCATTTAAAATTTAATTTAATATTTAGAAAAAAAATTAAATTATCATCACTTTCATCTATGTCATCATCATCATCAACATCATCAAATTCATCATCAACACATACAACAACAACAATAACAGTTGATGGAGTTTCCGTTCGTATAACGGAATTAACTAATAATAAAACGAATTCCTTAACAACAAATGATACATCCAATAATGGAAATAATCCATCAAGAGCTTCATCAACATCACCAAACGATCGAATGAATAGTCAATCTGAAAAATAAACATTTTCTATTATTATATTGTTTTCTTTTTGTACAGATTATAACAATGATCAAATATCTCTGTATGTGTATGTGCAAATGTCTAAGAAAAAAAATTTGTTTTTTTTTTTTGATAGGCTAGTTTGTTTTTGTGTGCAACGGGCAAATTACATTCTTCTTAAAAAAATATCATTAAAATTTGTTATAACTTGAATCATTAATGCTTTTCTATTTTTGAAGTTAGATCAAGACAAACATTTATGTAAATACCGAAAGCGATGAAAAAAGTTTAGCAACAGCTTTATTTTCTTAATTTCTCGTTACGAAGAGCTTATTGGAAATATCTAAATAGTAATTTTGATACAACTCAAAGTGATCTAAAAGACTGAGATGTGAAAAATTTATAGAGCATGAGTATTTTAGTTATTATTAGGCAAATACATTTTCTCCAGCGGAAAAAAGTTTAGCACAATTCTTAGTATTCAGCTAATTTTCTCGTTATTTTATGATGGTTGAGAAAGCTTTTTTTATATCCTATTCCATGCAGAATCTCACAAACTACATTTTAGTAGAAAGCACTTAACCTTCTATTGAAATATTAATTAATTATTAATTATCTAGTAGTTATTAATAATTATCGACTAATTAACCCTTTGAGGACGGATGGGTTATTTTTGACCCATCTATTCTTTAGTAGAGAAAAAAAATGTTTAGTTCACATTAAACTATTAAATATGTCAGGTCATTAAGGTCATAAACAACTGCATTTATCATCTCATAGTTTTTTTTCTTTCCTTCTCTCATATAAATTCTTTTCAAATATCCTTTGTTCTTACTCCAAAGATACAGCGGCGCCATAATTTCTTTTTTCTCCTCTGATCTTTTGTTTTTCGAGAATATTCTCATTCTCTGTTGAGTATATATACTCCCGTTTTCATTGACGAACTTACGTTGTTCTTGAATTTGCAAAGCATATCATTTCTCTTTCGAACTTGTACTCTTTATTTCCTTATACCGTTTTTACAATTAAAACTAAACAAATGGAATTCTATAGAAAAAAAAACGAATTCGAGTCTTGAGCTTCACATCCGAATGCGATAGAAACAAGCGTGACTTTGATTTTTATGCAATCCTTTTTGAGCAAAATAAAATAAAATGATTGAAGAACTACTTTTTGATTCAAAAAACATTCCGTCCTCAAAGGGTTAAAGAGAAATGTATGTATGTGCGTGTGTAAATGTTTGTAAACATAAATGTATTTAGTCTGACGAAGGCAACATCGTGGCCGAAATGTAACGAAGAAATAAATACATAAATAAGTAATACAAATACTAGGGAAGAGCTCGAAAAATAAACACTTAAAAAACAACTCCATATGACTTTTCGAGAAACCAGAAATGAGTTGTAAATCATATCGATTATGCATTTTATTTCTGATTTTCGGATTGTTTGAACGAATGCAAAGTGATACCCCTTTGATGCGATTCGTAAGCAAAGTGAACTCAGAAACATCCACATTCTCTGCCGCATCCTCACACTCTTCAAACTTTGATGGAATAGGATAATAATGCAGTACATTAAATGAAATACAATCATTATTATTTTTTATTGTTTATCTAACAGATTTAGTTGTAAGAGCTACTAACGCAAACAACGAATAATCGAAACTATTCATTTCTTTTTCTTGTAAAATGATATGAAGTGCATGTTTCTTATTGGACTCTGTAGAATGGATCGTTACAGAAAATGTTAAATTTTGAAGATGATTGAAGGAAATTTCAGCAAGTCAATTTTATTATGATGGTTTGTTGTTTTGGGTGAAAAGCATGCTTGAATCTGGAATTAAGATTGTTTTGATGATATCTACCATGTGTTCAATTTATATGATGCTTGAAAGAAGCCCAAGCTCAAATTTCAGACGATAGAACAAGATGTTGCCCGTACATTAAAACTTTGCTTGAAACATGGAAGGATTCAATATTCTGTAATGGAAGCGAACATCAATGTAGCATATAAATGTTTCTGATGAGGCTTTTATCTTGAGAAGATTAAACTTGTTCGTAGCAATTCAAAGCTCTTCTAGCTACATTGCAGAAATATTCTAAAAAATAATGCCCCCGCTCTTAACGAAATAATACAACGCATGTTTCTGATAAGAACAGTTTTTCAAACACCTTGAGAAGTTCCTTTTTTTCTAAACAAATTATATAGGAACATATAGATTTTTTCATATTTTTGGGTAAAGAAGTGTTTT